ATTTTAAACAGATTTTAAACAGACAATTAACATAGAATTGCACTCCAACACAAAACACCATTATAGCGCTAATAAAGACGCAAAAAAAACAATTTTCTACCACTTGTAGTTACTTGAAACTTATGTAAAATTGAAGGATAAACTATTTTATATCTTGAAATGGTATTCCCATGCAACTACAATGAGTAGAAATTACCAATTTGAAGGCCTAAATAATTGCTGCCAAAGCTATGACACGCTGTGAATCTGTTTATGCAGCTTCCCGAAAAATCTCAAAAATTATAATTTTCTATCACTTGTAGGATATTATCTACTACAATCAGTAGAAATCAACAGTTTATAGGTTAAGAGTCCATTGGTGTAAAGACAAACTGTTCATGTAGGTCCACTATTTTTTCATTTTCTATCACTTGTAATATCCCGTAGTAAATAAAAAAAAATCAAAGAATGTACCTAATATATTTCATTATAAAACTGCGTTACCGTGTAACTACAATGAGTAGAAAACAATATCTTAAAGGGCAGGCTGAGCAGCCATTACATGGCCAGTACCGAAACTGCAAAGCATAATAAATTTGATAAAATTATAACTTTCTACCACATTTAGTAATCCAAAATTAATATAAAATAGAAGAATATATTATATAACACTTCAGGTTGCCATTTTCATGCAACTACAATGAATAAAAATTTTAGAATTATACCAGGCTTGTAACTTGTAACCCATACCTAGAGAATGATATCGAAACTTCGATGAAATGTAAATTTGTTATATTTGGCTAGCTAGTTTTTCAGTGGTTGAAAAATAACAAAAACATAGATGAGTTTTTATTTTAAATGAATGGTTAAAAGTGATAATGAATCTAATTATTTATATTATCTTGACTATTGTAATTATTGTTTATATGGAAAACGCAATTATTAAAAAACTATGGCATGTTAATTGGACATAGTTGCTTGTTCTTGATTCAGAGACTATTGAATCGTCTTTGCCGAAGTTGAAACAGACCTCATTGCGTCAATTATTTCTTAATGATGGCCCGAGTCTATTTGCAGATATGGTTTTATTGAGTGGCTGCTACCATGACCCGTTACTTTAATCAATTGCTATTTTCCAATTCCCGTTTTGGCTACAGTTGAAACAGCAGTGGCTCTTACAGAATGATTTGTTATTTTGATCTTTTTAAGATCAATTCCATTCAATGATGCATAGAATTTGAACCAGGAAGATATTGTATTCTGTCCAACTGGGCTGTTCTTGTACCAGCCTTTGGAACTGGGATTCATCCAGTTTGGATTTGGCGTCAAAAATAAACGCTTCGTTTTGATGGGGCCCTGCTTGCTTCTTAGTTTTTTGAACAGTCTCAGTGGGCATATTTCTTCGTTGAGTGTATTCGGTACTAGCCACTTACTGTCAGCCATTTTCTTTGAAGTATCTTGGGTGGTCTTAGAGAAAACCGGGTTATACTCAATGTGGCCTGTTGGTTTCCCTCTATTGTCAATTTACTCCACAAAATATTCGAGTTGTGCTACCGCTCCTTCATTTCCTCTCCAGGCCAATTCATGACCAGCAACGTGGAAAAACATTTTCTGCATTCCAGAGTGTTTTCTTCCCAAAGCTCGATCATTTTTTTCAGCTCGTCTGCTGATAGTGCAGATTAACTTTTCTTTCTCTTGGTTCGATCCATTTGTAGCTTCCAGCGCTTAGCATTTTTTGAAGCTCTTGCGTTCAAAAATTCTATGTCAGAGAATGGATTAAATTTGCGATTATATTTTTCAAAAAAATATTCCTGCAACTGCTTGGCTGTGGAATTCCAAAAAACTATGATAACACTCTCCTTGTAGTCTTCGGAGTTCTTTTTTCGAATGTTGAACACATAGTCTTCAAGAATAAGTGCCACTTCTTCTATCGAAATTATACGATTTTTCTGGACAAAAGTTTGCAAACTGTCTCCATACGCTTGACTTCGATTTCCTGGTATGCGCGTATGTCAACTGCTCAATCTCCTGGCGAATATTTTCTTTACTTTCTTGTCCAAAGCAAAACATTTTTTTACGTCGTGCCGCTTGACAGCTTCAAAACTGGAAATAATAATTTCGAGGTTAGGGTCTCACTTAGTTACCATGACAACTCAACAATCAAGTCGACCACACATTTTATGTTTCACTAGTGACTTGATGAAGAAAATAATTTGCATTGTTGAGAATGGAAAAATAAAAAATTTTGTTTTTCGTAGTCCCCATTAAAAAAAAAAATTGGTAAAAAAATAAAACTTCACTTAGATTTTCATGAATTTAAATCTAGATGTATTGTTTAATGCTGAACAACTTTACTAATTAACATTTACTTAAATTTTTCAAAATAATAGTACCTACTTTACTCTTGTCTCAAAATCAAATATTTGAAGGCTCCTCGTATACTACGTGTGTTTTAATGTATTTTGTTGGTGCATGTTCAGTTTTAGGGGGTGCACAAACTTTCATCAAGAATAACTTTTTGTCGAAAAATAGCACAAATTAAGTAGAATTAAATCAATGTGAACACTTGAGGCAGCTATTGTGTAGCGAAACACATGTTGCAGTTTTCTAACAGTAAAAATCTCACAATGAGCTGTTACTTGAATACATTATGGATTTTCATCAAGTATCGGTCAATTCAATCACATATTCGAAATAATTTTTAGTTCATATTCTTTTTACAGTTTCAGGATGGTTATGAGAAAATTGTATTTTCCAAAAATCCGTTATTAGTGACAAATATAGCTCTGTATTCAATTTCAAAAATTCACCAGAGATTGCGATCATTTTATGTATATGCTGAAAGATTGCTTTTCGATCCATTGTTATTCTGGATTCTGTATTTATTCTAGTTAAAAATAAAGTATATTGCCTTTTTTTACATTCGTTTCTGTATTTTTGAAATTTTAATGTGCACAGGACAACTCGTCACCAATCCTTATCCCAATTAGGAAAAGCATGCTAACTCATCACTGATAATTCCAGAACACTTCCAAACCTCTATTCTGCGGAAGATGAACTGATCACCAACTACATGCTGTGCTAATGGTTAGTCAATTAGTCAAAATTAATTTTAACTAAATATATTTCAATTTCAGAAAATACAGTGCTGAGCACTTGGTTCAATGTTCAAAGGAAGACCTTCGGTTTTGCAGAATTTGACCATGGTTCCTAAAATCTGAGTTAGCACTAGAAATAAGAAGTAATGAAATAAACAAGTGGAGAAACTGAAGGATTAACCAAATCTTACGAACTTATTAGAAAAAAGTTCCTTTTGAACTTTTTTTTCAGCAAAAACAACAACTATACATATATAAAAGATCACCTGAAGACGATTGTGGATACTAACAATTGAAATGTCGTGAAGTATTTTGCTTGTATTTTGCTATGTATATTATTTCTCTTTCATGGTTATCTTGATTTACTCTACTTATTATTCCACGAATGTTACAATCATGAATGTCAACCTAACCACGCTCAGCTGATGGGCCAATATTCATATCTCTCTATCTTACGGCAAATTCAATCTGCCGTTCTTTTCGGGTGATGTCGTCACCCGAAGACAATTGTAGATACTAACAATCAAAACGTTGGCTTGAAATCTTTCAATTTTAACTTTTTTAATTGTTCAATTAATAAATTGTACTTCATTTTATTGTAATTTAATTTCATTTTTTTGTTTAATAAAATTGTTATTTTCAGCTATTTATTTTAATTTCCAACTTTATTGGTTCTTTTAGGGATTTCATATCATTTTAGACAATGGAAGTTCGAAGTAATGAAATTCACCATGAAACATTGTCAATCGCTTTCTATTCTGGCAGATTTCTCAATTATTGGTCTTATCTATATTCGACGAAAATTAATTTAGACAGAAAAAATGAAAATCTGAATTCTCTATATTTCCTAACCTTTCTTAAATAACAAAAATTTAAATATCTTATACAAATCGTTCATCAATAATTCCCATACTGATCCTCTACTCAGGAAGATCTCTTTAACACGTCTCCTGTGGACGTTGTTTCTAATTCTAATATGCTCAATAACAATAATGTTTCAAATTCAAATGGAACTAATTTACTTCAAGTCCCCATACTGTTTTCTTCATTACGTAAGCTGCGTATAATTTTAAAAAATTTTAATGTTAAGACAGTTTTAGAATTCTAATTACCATTAATAAATTGTTTTCAAAAATCATACACAAAACTTCTATTAACTTACTGTCGAAATTAATTGATTTAATTCCCTGTATATGTCTTAGTTTTGAAATATTTTGACTTCAACAAGTATATTACTTACAATAAAGCTATGAAAACTGTATTTGTATAGTGCAAGAAGAGAGATGCCGAGATGCTAGGTATGGTGCTCCAAAAACTTGGCCCATATCTCAACCTTGTTTATTATTATCATTATTCACCAGCCCCTGATAAATAATAAGTAGTTATTTTTTTTGTCGAAGTATTTCTTAAATTTTTAGAAAGATAGCATTATGCACTCCATTATTTTTGAATTTGAGAAGCAATTTATCCTCATTAACTCAGTCTAATGTTCTGATGTATTCATGCAAAGTATGGTGTTTCTGAAATCAAACTTAACAAAACTTAACAAAATTTATTACTTTGTCAGGAATCGAATACTCTAGGTTAGGTGGTTTGGAATCCTCCAGATCTGAGTCTACTGATGTGATGAGCGCTAGCAGACTATAATCTACATAGAAAATTATTGAAAATTAATATAAAAAAAATAGTATTTCGATTCACGAGTGAACAATAATAATATAAAATAATAAAAAAATATATACATAACACAAGGACAGTAAATACATAAAAATTGAATAAGCACAAAGATCAAAAAGTGACTCATATCACTAATAACATCATTAAGATACCAAATGTTTAAATGAAATTAGTTGGTTGAAAAATTGGTAGAGAAATTTTCTGGTCAATCTACAGCTGCATCAGATTCACAAGTACATAGAGATTATTTTCTATTAGTGTTTCAAATTTAAAATATTATGAAATAGATTGAAACATATGACTATAACATTCTATAAAAAAATACAGGTTTCCCTCTTCATTCATTCATTTGCGCATTTTGTAGGAACTTCAACTTCGTATTTTCGATAGTTTCTCAGGTTGCCATTGAATATTGGCGATAATACAAAAGCAAATTGTTTTTCAAATATTCAAATCATTATTTCGATAGAAGACAGCAGACGTGATCAGTTAGAACAGATACATTTTTCTTTTTCCCCATTTATTCAATACAATCAACTATTTCATAGCAACTCAATTTTGAGTGGAAACTGGCAAACATTGGTGTCATATTATTTGGATAACTTGTCTCATTTGAAGACCTCTTGAAAAAAAGATTGGAGCCACATGTCTCATTTAACAAGTCAAATAAAAAAGACAACTTTTTGTGAAATCCATGAAGATTTTCTTTTGTCTGACAAATATACCTTACACCGCCATCATCTTAGTTGGAGTGGATTCATGACCTGTTTAAGTTGTAGTCAAGACAAAATTCATGCACAAGCATATATATTACATATACTAAATCATACTATCTATGTGCACAATTCATACATTATATTTAGTTCTAACAATTGGAAAACATGAATTCTTATGACTTAGAACATAGAACGTTAAACTAATGCATGAATTTACTTTTACTTTCACATATATTTAAGAATCAATCCCAATTTATTTCCCAGTATATGTAAAAATAACAATTAACAATGTATTTCTTTTTTATGCTCAGTCAAAGTTTTCATGTCTAACTTTCAACTGTTCAGATGCTTGAAAAACTAAGTAATAAAAATACTAACCTGCTATTTCTCACATCTGTAGACCTAACAATACCTTGGTATGATATTTAAGTGTGTTTTACATTCTGACATACCTGCCTAGGTGGCAATCCATTTATACTGGATCTAGTCAGCAATAAATTTGTCACTTCTAGTAATTCCATACATTCACAGTACCCCAGCTACATGTCTTCAACAACTATTTAATAACTGCAGTATACTGATTCTGATCCTGAAATCGAAAATATTTTTTTTAAATATCTGTATATGTCAATCTATCCACCAAGTCCAGGTCCAAAGATGACAGTCGACAGTCGACATTTTTGACAGTACATTTTTCAAGAGAATTATACAATAATATGGAAGTTTCTTTAGGGGACAGGATCAACTGCTCTACTGTATACAGAAAAATAGGTCCTGCAAGGCATACAATTAGGTTGTTAGACCGAAAAGGGAAAAAATAGCGATACTGAATTTTGTGCCTTCCCTTAGGTAATTTATTTTATATTTTTCGAGGCTCTTGAGCGTTTTTTGTGATATTGAAATTCGAATCAACTCATCATTTGACGTATCAAATAGTTTTGAAGTGTAAATAGTTACAAAATAAATTCGTATGATATGTGGAGATATACCATCTTATTCAGGCCATATTCTTCCACTAAAAAATGTACCTATATTTTGAAATTTATGGAATGTGGAGAAAAATGAGAATTTTCTTTGGATTTACCAAGATTGCCAGGAATCAATAAAAGTCTAATATTTACAGAAATAACTACCACATGCTCTACACATAGGATAAACTGTTCCATGTTACTAGTTGAGATTACTCACTAACTGAAAAGTTTCCTCTCTCAAATGTTAATAAAATTCTTTGTGTATGTACAAATCCCAGAACTCTAATTTCACTCTACAATTTAACTATACAGATTTCCATCAAACATACAGATTTCATGTACTGACCCGTTATTACTTGTAAAACTTATTCAATGTTCACACAGTGAAATTCGTTCAAAATGCGTTTGACTACACATGCAGTAACTTCTTTAGTTGGACCAGTTCAACTGCAGAAGCTACTGTGTATGGTACAAAGGTGAAGTTCAATATTTTTGACAAATTATAATGTGTGTATACCTACTACGAAAGTATTCGTATCACATATATGAAAAATGTATTTGCAAAATATAGATAGTGGATATCTTTTCTTTCTCTCGATCAATATTTCAAAGATGAACTTATTATTCAATAGGGTGTATAAGTATACTGATCACCAATTGTTGAACACTTATTACATAGGTATATTCGGATTTCCGAAATTTGAGATGAGTTATTTCCCAACCGCAAACTTGATGAGTCATTCAATGAAATACTTCTTACCTAGATGTAACTCAAATAACGAATTCAAATACGCAGCTGTTATTTCCTCGCGAAGATACATTTACTAATAACTCAGTATAAGAAATACAGCCTATTGGGCGGTTTTAGTTGATTTACAAACCTTTATCCTTGAAACATACGCTTGAAGTATTTGTTACTGTTACATATAATCGAGAATAAAAACTAAAAAATGTTCAAATTTCAAGTTGAAGATATATAAGAATGAAATTGATGAACTCATACGTATTCACAATTTATAAATTTGAACCACAGCCACGAGCAATTGAGAAAAGCCCTCAGTCACGAAATGAACAATCGCAGAAAGCTGTTTATCCAAGTTCACTCTAGAAATTTCTTTCATTAGCGCCGGCAAATAAAATTGAGATGTTGTCAAAAAAATCTTGTTGCATTATACTTACTTTTTGGTAATTTTGATTATGAAGCCATGATGTTTTTCAACATTGATAAACTACTTAGTTTCACCATTAGTTTTGATGTTATCTTTGAATCTTCAGTGTATTAACATCGATTTTTCAGGTATTATGTTATTTCACTGGTTTCTACAGGTTGAGCATATATGCTCATTATCAGGTGTAATAATTACAACTCTTAATCAACTCTCACTAAAACTGAAAGACAAATCAAATCATTGACATTACCAGAAGAAATGAAGACATATTTTCCATAATGAATTTATTTTCAAACAAACATGAACTGTTTATTTGCGAGGTCCAAATGCCCTTTCACAATATTTGGATTTTATTTTTTTGGGTTGGATCATGCAGTTCTATATATTATCAATTTGCGACGTACCGAACTCCATGAAAAATCCCCAAATAGTCTTGACTTCTGGAGTCAGGACTATTTAGGGATGGAAAGTTATGGATTGAAAATAAGTGTAATATCCAAAACGTTACGACAATAATAACTCTCAATATGTTTTCATATAATAACTTCAACCTCTTTCAATGGTTCCATTACCTTCGGGCAGGTCGAGTCACAGAAATATAGGTGTTGCAATAAAACATCCCTAATGCAATACAATAATACATTGAAATACTATATAGAGACCCCAGGAAAAAAGAGTGTGGCATGGTTAAGTTGTTAGAAACCCAAGTTTCTAAATGAACAAAATGAAAGTTCTATTTACCGTAAGAAAGAGAAAGTTAAACTATTTTGAATATTTGCCTCTTTCAATGGTTCCTTTATCTTTGAGACAGGTAGAATCACAGAAATATAGATATCTGTTCTGTTAAAATATGTTTTTCCGTTAACCACCTGTCCCCTCCCCCATACTACCCACAACTCTCAAAAGTCGAAACTTGTGAGAGCTAAGGACTAACGAGGTCTTACCTTTTAACGTGTGATTCCTAACAATATGTTTTCATATAATAACTTCAACCTCTTTCAATGGTTCCAAAATCTTCGGGCAGGTCAAGTCAGTGAAATATAGGTATTATTGCAATAAAACATCCCTTAATGCAATGAAATACTATATAGGGACGCCAGAGGGAAAGAGAAAGTTACACTCTTTTGAACGTTTGCCCCTTTTATTGGTTCCAGTATTTTCGAAGCAGGTCGAATCACAGAAACATAGGTATTATTGCAATAATTACATTACTATAAAAAATACATTCCTGATAGGCTTTATTTCATTAAATATGCAAAAATAATTCAATATTTAAAATGAATTCAACTCACTATTTGTTGAGAAACTCATAATTACCAATTGAGAAATGCTAGCGAGTCTTGAAAAATATTGAACGATATAATGTTTACTGATTTTGTATAGTGGGATGTTTAAAGAATAGAATAATTTATTAGTTGATTAAGTTATGGATTTGTATCAAGTATCAGCCAATTCCATCACATATTAGAAGATTACAAAAATTGAATACATCATCATCATCATCATCATCATCAAATAACTATAATTATCATCTAGATAAATATACGTATTTTAAATGAAGGTATAAAGTAATCATACAACACATTATATAGGTATCACACTCTTTTCAGGAAAATATTTTTAACCAAATAATTTTTCATATCAGTTGTATTCAAACACTTCGAAAACCTCGAATAACGCATTATCTATTGCAAGTATCCATATGCAAAGAGTTGCCGTTATTCTTAAAAACATTTCGGGAAATCAGTTTCGAAAAAACTCTCGGTTACGCCACTGGCTCTTCTACGATGCAGCGAAATTTCTGGATGTCAAGTTCCACCGTTCATCGATAATTCGAGATTCTCCGGGAACATTCGGGAAAAAAAAATTGGCGTTTATATAAAAGCACTTCAGGCGGCGCCATTCAATTCGATTTGAACTTGAACGTAGTAGAAGTAAACGAAGCATATAACTCAGTGGTGAAAAAGTTGCAAGCAGGTTATTGTCAGAAAAAGTTTAAGAAGTCAGTTTCTGGTGTAAATCTATCATTCATTGGGAGTGAAAATTAAATTCAACATGGTGAACGCTCCTGCAGTTGGAATTGATTTGGGCACCACTTATTCTTGTGTTGGTGTTTGGCAGCACGGAAAAGTGGAAATCATCGCAAACGATCAAGGTAACAGAACAACACCCAGTTATGTTGCTTTTACCGACACCGAGCGTCTTCTTGGAGACGCTGCCAAGAACCAGGTCGCGATGAATCCCAGTAATACCGTTTTCGATGCCAAACGTCTCATAGGCCGCAGATACGACGATCCAAAAATCCAGCAAGATATCAAACACTGGCCATTCAAAGTCATCAGCGATGGAGGGAAACCCAAGATTCAAGTTACGTACAAAGGCAACATTAAAAATTTTGCTCCTGAAGAAATCAGTTCCATGGTCCTTACCAAAATGAAGGAGATTGCAGAGGCATATTTAGGCAATCCCATCAGAGATGCAGTCGTCACAGTTCCAGCATATTTCAATGATTCCCAGCGGCAGGCTACAAAAGATGCAGGGGCCATTGCAGGTCTCAATGTTCTGAGAATTATAAACGAACCTACAGCAGCCGCTTTGGCTTATGGTCTTGATAAGAACTTGAAAGGAGAAAAAAATGTTCTTATTTTCGATTTGGGCGGAGGAACATTTGATGTATCTATTCTAACCATCGACGAAGGATCTCTGTTCGAAGTTAAATCTACTGCGGGTGATACCCATCTTGGCGGAGAGGACTTTGACAATAGATTGGTCAATCACTTTGCAGAAGAGTTTCTACGTAAATACAAGAAGGACCTTCGCAAAAATCCAAGAGCGCTTCGTAGATTGAGAACAGCTGCTGAAAGGGCGAAGCGTACTTTATCCTCCAGTACAGAGGCTTCTCTTGAAATTGATGCCCTTTATGAAGGAATCGATTTTTATACAAAAATAAGTAGAGCTAGATTCGAGGAGTTGTGTTCTGATCTGTTCAGAGGTACCCTTCAGCCAGTCGAGAAGGCTCTTAATGATGCGAAGATGGATAAAGGTCAAATCCATGATGTGGTACTTGTTGGAGGATCTACTCGAATTCCAAAAATACAGCAACTTTTGCAGAACTTTTTCAACGGGAAGTTATTGAACTTGTCCATCAACCCCGATGAAGCTGTTGCTTATGGGGCAGCTGTCCAAGCTGCCGTATTGACTGGTTCAACAGATTCTAAAATCCAAGATGTCCTGCTGGTAGATGTGGCACCTCTTTCACTAGGAATAGAAACGGCAGGTGGTGTTATGACTAAAATCATTGAGCGCAACTCTAGAATCCCATGCAAGCAAACTCAGACATTCACTACATATTCCGACAACCAACCAGCAGTCACAGTACAAGTTTTTGAAGGAGAGAGAGCTATGACAAAAGATAACAATCTTCTGGGAACTTTCGATTTGACTGGAATTCCTCCTGCTCCTAGAGGAGTTCCGAAGATTGACGTCACCTTCGATCTTGATGCGAATGGAATTCTCAATGTTTCTGCTAAAGATACAAGTTCTGGAAATGTCCGAAACATTACTATAAAAAATGATAAAGGAAGGTTGTCTCAGAAAGATATTGACAGAATGTTATCCGAAGCCGAGAAGTATAAAGAGGAGGACGAGAAGCAAAGGCAAAGAGTTGCAGCTAGAAATAAATTAGAAGCTTACATCTTCCAGATCAAACAGACCGCTCAAGATTGTGGAGATAAGTTATCTGCTCAAGATAAATCCACTATTGAGAGGGAAGTTGAGAGTCATCTGCGCTGGTTAGACAGCAACTCATTGGCTGATAAAGAAGAATATGAAGACAAACAAAAACAACTGGAATCAGTGTGCCGGCCTATTATAACAAAACTATATGGGGGAAGTGGTCAACCTGGTGGACAACAGAATAGCTCTGGATCACCAAACAGTGGACCCACTATCGAGGAAGTTGATTAATTCTCCAGTTAGTTTTTTCAATTCACCAAAGTTTCATGTTTCATATTTTTTCAGTCGTAGTTATGCACTCAGTATTACTAAAATTTATAGAGTATTAGTTTGTTATTGGTTATTTATTATTGTTATCTGAAATGAATATTTTTTTTCATGAATAATTTGTATTCTGTAATAAATATAATCTTCAATGAAATCAAATTTATTTTAATTTTATATATATGATGATTAGTAATTCTCTCGGTAAAATTACTTCTTCACTTCACTCAGTCTAGGTTAAGTTCTTTTCCTGCATAAATCAAGTTACATAATACTGATCTATAAGTCTGAAGACGGAGCAAGCATTAAAATTTTTGCACCATTAGTTCCAAAATATATTTAATTTATGACTAAATTTGATAAAATTAGAAGTGTTAATTAACTCTATTCTAGAATGTTGTATACTATTTGATAAGTACTTGTGTATACATAAATGAATAACTAACAACTTTTAGAATTTCAACTAATTATTGGTGAATTATCATTCCTTGAAAAATATTTCAAATTTGTGAAACTTCATTTTCAAATAAATTTAAAACATTACAAATGTACTTACATTTATAAGTAAGTACATTTTTAAATTTTGGGGAAATGTCCCACAGTACAAAGAATAATAACGTCATCAAAACAAGTACCTCGTTTGTGAACATCAATTTGTATCGAAGGACGCTGATGTCAACAAGAAAAACTATGATATACCTCTAGTTTTTTATCTTTTTATTATTCTTTGTATTGTGGGGCATTTCCTGGAAATTTAAAAATGTAATTATTTATAAATGAGACGATGTCTTTGGTTCCATTTGTCTTTGCTAACCTACAATTTGTTACACTGAAGATGATCACAGCTCTGATCGAAACATGTATGTTTTTCCAATTTCGTATGGAGAAGACTTCCAGTTGACGTTCTTCTTCATATGATTATTGTTGGTTGCCTAATCTGAAGTTAGTATTCATTTTATTATTCACATAGGCAACCAAAAGAACATAAACGGTTATGCATTTCCTTCTCTTTTCTAAGCATTTCATCGTGTAATGTTCAATAATCTATAATGAACGGTATTTCTATTGTTTAGGCAACACAAAATGCAAATCTTATTATGATTCAGTGTTCTTTTCATTTTATGTCAAGGAGTGGTTTTTTAAACAAACTCATTTCTATCAAGGTTGTCTATGGTTTCAAGTGAAAAAATAACAATTTTATAATGACGCCAAGCAAAAAAATCGCATTAAAAACGCCCAGTTAGTCTTAAAAACAGGAAATTCTCACATGAATACATATGCTATACTAAGGGGTTATGAGTAGACAACTAGCATTACCGCTGCTTTAATAATATCATTTATTAATGAGAAGATAGAGAATGTAAATAGCAAATACATTTTTTTGCATAAATGATACTTACTCGATAAATGAGCAAACATTTGTCTCTAGATTATTCAATCTGCCGTTCTTTTCGGGT